ATCCGAGCCCAAGATGATAATTTCTCTGCCATGGGAATAATTCCTCTCTACGTACCTTTGGTATCATACGTACGTACTCGTACACTCCCACAGGTGTTTGGAGTTTGGAGTTTGGAGKCGGATTTTATACGGTTTTCGGCGTTAATTTAGAGTTAGGGATATTTTTTAGGAATAAAGCAATATGATTGGCTGATTAGACAGATCAAAATTTACCAATAAAAAAGCGGCTACTTCGTATCACTTATTGTACACGTTTATCGAAAAGAGCAAAAACTTTAATCCGATTCTTTAGTGTTCATTGCATGGGGAACGTTTACGGTACGTACAGCACTATGTAATTAAAAAGGGGAGGACGGACTGTCGTAAGAAACAATTTGTCTCGGAAGAAACGAAGACTCACAATTATGTCGCAACGATATTTTCGAAAAAGTATGCACTGACCTCTTCTTTTTGGGCTTATTTGAGATAACAGAAGGTAGCAATGTTGCTGACTGAGGCTGACATTGATAACGTTCATTGGGGACGTAAACTTCTTCACCTCAAGTTAGAAGTTGCATGGTCCAACGCGACAATTTCTCCCGTTAGTCACCGACCGAAACAAAAACGCACTACCGTACGATTTCTGTTGTACATAACGTTCGTTCAGTGCCACGAATCTTCATTTCTGCCGTACTCAAGAGGAGGACTAATAAATCTAATAAGATGGACCGGAACGAGCATACGAGCAGCGATCCTGCTTCGTCCGGTGCCGCGGGTAGTAATGAAGATACGTACGGCGAATTACCTGAGGAGCCTGATACTTTTGATGCCAACCCTCCTCCTCTTAAAAGAGGCGGAGTTCGATTCCCGTCTGCAAAATCGATGGAACAAGTCAAGCGCATAAGCCGTGCCAGCCTCTACAATTCGGACGAAATAAAARACTACTGGGGAACTTCCACCGATAAAATSATGCAAAAGACGGAATTAAGGAGGGATGTTCGGGATATGTATTTGAAATCAAGAGAAAGTGACAGTGACTTCACTAAACTTGGAATCGATACATTGGCCGGAAAAGGGAAGGAAAAGAAGAAAAGCAATAGGATGRTTTCAAGGCATGCAGTCCTAGATGAACAAGATCTTCAAGAGCACGAAGGTGTCCATGACGATAAGCTACTGGCCGGCGTATACTCAGTTACTTCCAGAAAGGCAAAGAAAGATGCTCGAAAGAAAGCGGAACAACTGCATGCATCACTTGCTGAGGAATGAACGGATTTGTAGTGCTAAAGAGTTTTTTGCTTTAGAGAGGCCAATGTTTCATTTGATAGAAGCAAACGTTGCTTACAGTTGGAGCGAGTTGTGGCGTTTGAGACGAGTCCAGAGCATCAATCAATAAGCAGTTGTCACATCGTTCCACTGATGTGTAGCCATTTGCTGTTAGCACTTTGACCCGAAGGAAAATATTTTTGATGACAGCAATTGTTGATTAGTTTTATTGTTTAGATATCCAGCTCTGTATACCTTGGAATAATCAATAACCCCCTTTCCCCCCATACAACTAGTTTCATACTTATTTTTGCTTTTGCTTTGCTCATGTGCAAATCATTCTTACTAGTATGTGTCTGTTTGCGATTAAGATACATCAGCTCAAACTGTCAGTTCAAGATTAAAACATTTAACTACTACTACTAGGTCACTCTTCTTTGGATTAGTCACTCTGGCAAGACCCCCCTCACTTATTTTGTTCTATTTCCAGTCAATTAGAAAGAATCTACACAGTTTGTTGTAAGTTGTGGCAATCAAGAAACTTGCCATTGCTTGTGAAGCTTTCTTTTGATCAAGTCTCCCTTCAAGTTGCTCTTCCACTTCTAACCCTTTGAGTGACCTGAAGGCATTATTGATTGCTTAAGCAAAGTTTCCACATCTGATTCAACTTCAAAGGCTTCTTCAAATGCTGCTGATTGGACTCCACAAATGCCCTTGGTGGCTGTGTTGTGGTT